AAATTGGAATCCCCACCCCTGTCGTCGCCCCGCCCCAGGACTCACCATCAGGGTGATCATGATGGGCAGCCCGTAGGTGATCTCGTTGGTGGACTCGATCAGGATAACGGTCAGGCTGATGGTCATGCGGACCACCCCGCCCAGGAAGGCAGCCGCTCCGATCAACGCAAAGGTGCCGGAGTAGACGTGATCCAGACCAATGTAGCTGGGAGGGAGGGAGGAAGCATGAGCATTATTAACAGGGAGGGTCTTCGGAGCCGGGGGGGGGCCGCGGGGGCTTAAGGCCGGGGCCCCCAAGGGGCGGGGGGGGGGGGAAGCAAACCCCACGAAAGCCGAAGAGGAGGGCACCTTTCCAGGAGGTTGGCCACCAGGCGTCCGTAAGAGGCCCCGCAGAGCAGCGACGGGACAAAAAGGCCGCTCGGCACAGAAATCCCGTAAGTCCAGCAGGAGAGCAAGAAGTAGAGGAAGAAGAAGAGAGAGAGGGTGACAGGGCTGAAAGTACCTGGAAAACAGGGAGAGAGAAGCGGGGAAAGGGGGTTTAAGCAGCAGCCGGAGGGGAAAAAAGGAAAAAAAAGCCAAGCCCACCCTGTACCTCAATGCTGAAAACAGCCTGGACGGCATTGGGCCGGGTAATTGCAGGGAGCATCTCGGCCCGATTATTCTGGCTGGTGGGGGTCCAGGAGGAAGGCCTGCTCTGCTCTGGATCCTGCTCTCTGGGACACCTTACCCACCCCCCACCCCCTCGATGGGAGGTCAGCCCCAACCCTCCTATCCTTTCTTAAGGGGCTGCGCCAGTTGGCTTGGGGTCCCCGGTGGGGGGACCAGCACAATGGGGGGGGGGGGGTGGAGCAGCGGATCTCCAAACATGGCAACTTTAAGACTTGCGGACTTCAACTCCCAGAATTCTCCAGCCAGCATAGCTGGAGTTGAAGTCCACAAGTCTTAAAAGTCCACAAGTCTTAAAGTTGCCAAGTTTGGAGACCTCTGGGGTTGAGTGATAATGGATCCCGCTTCCACCCCCACTCCACCCCCGCCCTCCCCTCGTGTCTTTGGTTTTAATGTCTGATTTTAACTTTAGGTAACTGTAAGCTGCCCAGAGTGCCCAATAAGATAGAATCACACTAGAATAGAATTAGAATAGAATAGAATACAGAATAGAATTAAATATAGAATTAGAATAGAATAGAATTAGAACAGAATTAGAATAGATTATAGAATAGAATAGAACTAGAACAGAATATAGAATAGAATTAGAATAGAGTAAGAATTAGAACAGAATAGAATAAGAATTAGAATAGAGTAAGAATTAGAATAGAATAGAATTTTTTTATTGGCCAAGTGTGATTGGACACCCAAGGAATTTGTCTTGGTGCAAATGCTCTCAGTATGCATAAAAGAAAAGATATATTCCTCAAGAGTCAATTCATAAATCATACGTTTGTATGTATGTACTTATGTATCATGTTTCCCTGAAAAGAAGACCCAATTTTATTTTATTTTCGGCCCCAAAATCAACACCGGGCTTTATTTTCGGGGGATGTCTTGCCTGCTTACCTTAGGCCTCCCATGCCCTGACACCTATTGTGCGGTTGCCTGACATCTTCTGTGGCCGCTCGCAGCTAGGCACCGCGTGACTCACTGCACTGGTCATAGCCACTGGTGGCAGAAAGCCGTGAGGTTCACTGCGTCATTGCAGCTGCTCGCAGGGCACCGCGTGATGTGGTGTGTTGTTGCGCGCAGGAGCGGCTGCACCAGCACGATGAGCCTCGCCGCATCCTGGGTGTGGGAGGCCTGGCTGTGGCGGTCCTAAGGTAAGCGGGTACGGGGTGCAGGGGGCAGCTCCACCCCCACCCGTGCACTAGCTTGATTTTTAAGCCTGCACCTCACCCCACTTCATACAACCAGAGGGTGGGTGGGGCTTAACTAGGGGCTCATTTTTGGGATAGGGCTTATATTAGATGCAGGTGTGAAAATCGGGCTAGGGCTTGTTTTCAGGATAGGTCAAATTTGGGGGGGAAACACAATATGTACGTATAAATCAATAGATCAGTTTGCAGGTAGTTTAGGCCAGCAAAATTAGACTTATGGTAGCACTGGTTCAAACCAGGGGTGGGATCCTACCAGTTCGCACCTATTCATTGGAACCAGTTGTTAACATTCTAAGCAGTTTGGAGAAGCAGTTGTTAGAAGAAATTACAGGGCTAATCCTGTAAGAAAGGCAGGAAGGAAACATTCTGGTGTTGCTTACAGAAACTGCCTCTCCGTTAACCCTGATTACATTCTTGGCAGGACTAGACTTCCTGTCTCAGGAACTTCTCTGGAGTGTTTTTTTCCCCTCCTTTGCTGGTACTTTGCTTGTGTGGAGTGACCATTCAAAGTTACAGTGGCACTGAAAAAAGTGACTTATGACCATTTTTCACATTTACGACTGTTGCAACATCCCCACAGTCATGAGATGCCAGATGAGGAGATGCGTGTCTTGATGTGAGGGATGTTGAGTTGGACACGCCCACCCAGTCACATGACCACCAAGCCACACCCACCAACTAAGCCATGCCACAGAACTGGTTGTTAAAAAATTTGAATCCCACCCCTGGTTCAAACCCAGTACAAACATAGGTATGGGTAGAAGTCTATTAATTCTATGATAAATTCAACCAACGGCTTCTCTTTTCCACCATAATCTCCCAGCCAATAGGGTGATCCAAATGGATCTCCCTGAAGGAAATAAATATTAAGTTACTCTTTTATAATAGAATTAGAAATATTAAGTGCATTATTAAGCTGTGTTGTCTTTGTTGCCGTACCCTAATCACAAAGTATGTCCATTTAAACAAAATGTGCTTGGATAGTTGCAGGCTTCTTAGAAAACAGGAACATCCACCCAGGCAAGGCCACTGGCAATAAACCAGACACATAGGATAGGGACATCCGCCCAAGGCCAAGCTACAAGTAAACAAGATAAGGTGTCCGGTGCCGAGGAAGAAACGGTCAAGCTGACCCTTTACCTTATGGTAATATGACTAAGAGATAATAAGGGGAGTGGGGGGGCTTCTTAGGCACGGCGTGCATTGTGTAGGGTGTATAAAATGTTATTGTTTGACCATTAGATCTTGCTCTTCTTGTACCCAATCCACTTTGGAAGGGACTTGAAGGCCCATTTGCAAACACTTATTTTCTTTAATAAACCTTCGAATTGTGAACCAGACCTGTCTCTCTGCATCTAGTCCCGCAGAAGCAGGGAAGGAGGACTTAAAACCTGCGCAATTTCCTCTTGTTTTCACACTACTTTCAAACGCGAGAATTTTAGATGCTGTTGGCCACCTTGGAGAATTTATGGACTCCCTGAAGTTGGTTAAAAATGCACCTCCCTCAAGCCATGAATTCCAAGACCATGAAAACCCCAGCTCCCTGAATTTCATCTCAAATTAGACTCCTCCAAATTTCTAACCGGGACCCTCTGAAGCAGCGGTCACCAACCGGGGAGACGGGGACCACTGGTGGTCCGTGAAAAAATTTTGGTGGCCTGCAGAGAAATGCCCCCCACCCAAAGCAATTAATCTAGGCCGCATGGGAACACAAGGCTGCGCAGCCCACATGGCCAACCCACCCTTCGGCCGAGCGCAAACCTTACTTTGAGTAGAGCCACGAGAGCTGGAACTGGAAGGTAGGACCAACGGCGGGGGAGGGAAATCCGCCCTGGGTGGCTTGCTGACGTTGGGTGGGAAAGTCGGTCCCGTATTCCAGAGCCGCAGGAGTCACAGGAATGCTTGAATTAACCCTTTGGTCATCCCGGAGCAGCTGCTCCAGTCCGTGGCCGGCCGGTGCACCCGGGTGGAGGAGCAGCTGCTCCGGGATGTCCAAAGGGCCAGTCCTGTGACTACTGTGGCTCTGGAATATGGGACCGACTTTCCTACCAACGTCAGCAAGCCCCCGTCAGTCAAAATTCATATTAGTGGTCCACAGGGTTTAAATTTATAAGCTTGGTGGGCCTTGAGGTCCAAAAGGTTGGAGACCTCTGCTCTGGAGCCCCTGCCCAATCCACCGAGGAAGGCAAGCATAAAAACGGAGATAATAGCCTGTTCTTTTCCTCGCAGCTCCGGAACGAGCAGAGATGGATCCGGCACTCACCCTCCTGATGAAACAGTTGTAAGATGGCCGACTCTTGCGGGTTGAAGAACAGGGTCGCCATGTCGTTGTAAGTATTATTATGACAGAAGAACGTCTTGATGCTTGAATTAACCTCCTCCGACGAAGAATCCTTGACAGAAACAAGCAGCCGCATTTGAACTCCGGTTCCAAAATCATGTCAGGCATCCCTCAAAATTTACCTCTCAAGGCCCCCGAAGGGCTGCAACCTTTCAAGATGGCGCCTTCACACTTGGGACGCAGTTCTGCCAGAGGGCCTGGGGACTCCAGAGTGAGATGGAGCCCCTGAAATGGTTGGCATGAATGTGTGCTGTCACCAGGGTGGGTGATTATTTTCCTAATTTATTATAATACCCGTGCTTCAAAACGAAACTATGTGGTGGGGCTTAGTTTTGGGGGAGGAAAATAAGGGGGGTGGGAATTCTGCCTCTGCCTACCAGCATCCATCGGTATTCATCTGGCTAGCGTCCTGTCAGTGTGTGAGAGAGTTGAGGGCTGTTTGGAAACTGAAGCAGCATTTGCTATGTGAGCAAAGAGACAGCAAGGAGCCTGGGTGTGGCTTAGCTCAACTGTTCTGTACTAAAGCTGCTTGGTGCTCTGAAACTGAAACTCCTCTGCTTGTGTTTTTGCATTTGGAAGAGATTTCTTTTCAGGTGGGGAGAGTAGAACTCCTTAGCATCAGACTTGTTAATAATAATAATATTGGAAATACTAATGGCTCTGACGGTCATTTCAAAAAGTCCTTTGTTAGTGAGCCAAGTGGAACATAGATGCCCAATTTCAAGTTTGTAGGCTTTACGGTTCTGGAGATTTTGTGATGATGCATGTAGTGGTCTTTCGCTTTTATATATATATATATATAGATAGATAGATAGATTTTATTATCTTTCTTTTTATTTCTTTTACATGGTTTGGATATTCGTGTCCGCCACCTTGTGTCACCAAGTGTGAGCAGGCGGCAAGATAAATTTTCTAAAATAAATCAAATGAATAAGTAAAACCGTGTCAAGGAAGGTTGCAAAATTCACTTAGCAAACGTCTCTCTTAGTAACAGACACATTGGGCTTGACTGTGGTCGTAAGGCGAGGACTTCCTCTATCTATCCTCTAAAAGGGAGTCCCCCCGCCCCCCCAAGACTTGTCCTGGGGCTCTACAACCGTTTACCTGGCAACCTTCAAAATGGAAGGGTTTAAAAAGGATTTTAAAAACCCCAGAGGTGACACTGAGATAACACTTCCATCTTTTGAGGCGCATAAGCATGAAACGTTCCCCGCTCACCTGCAGGCTGAAGGAGGAGCTGTTGTCCCCGTGGTCAGCGGAAGAGAGTGGCCGGCATTCCCCGAGAAGCATCGAAGCAACAAATATCACAAGTGTGGTTGTCAGACACACCAAAAGGCTCTCCAGGACTCTGCAAGCAACACAAAGCACAAGAGAACCACGCTGATGTCCTGGAAATAGGGGTTGTTGTTTTTGTTTGAACTATTGCCATCTGGCAGACGGTACAGAATAATAAAAACAAGGACAAAAAGGCTGAAAAACGGCTTCTATCCCAGGGCAGGAGCTCTGTTGAATTCTGCTGCCTAGTGCAGTGTTGGTGCGGTGTCGGGAGTTTCAGTTCAATGTATGGAATGTGATGGATGTGTGTTTGTGTTTTATTTTTATAGTTATATAATGTACACTGAAGATGGAATTTAATTTCGTTGTTAAGTGAATCACTGCATTTGTTAAGTTAGTCCACCCGGTTGTTAAGTAAATCTGGCTTGCCCCTCGACTTGATTTGTCAGAAGGTCGCAAAAGGGGACACAGCAACAGTCATAAATATGGAACCATATCTGAATTTCGATCACGTGATCAGAGGGAGGCGACAAAGGTTGCAGCTGTGAAAAACGGTCCTAAGTCACTTTTTCCCCTGCCGTTGTAACCTTGAGCAGTCATTAAATGAACTGTTGTAAGTCGAGGACTGACTGTACTGGTGATTTTTCTCCTCATTGTTGTGGTCCGCCAGCAGCCGGTGCAGACGGCAGTGGAATCGGACAGTGGGGAAGAACGAAGACCAGTCCGGGAATCTGGGGCGGACTCGGACCAGGGTCCTGCGTCCGATGCAGAGATGGGACCAGGACCATCTGGGAGTTACGTGCTGACTGGAGCCTCCAGGGTCTGGCAGCAGCGAGGCAGAGGAACCAGGGGAGCCTTTCCCAGTGTGCGTATGCAGAGAGCTGCTAGAAGGCAAGAGCAGCTAAGACAAAAGGGGCGACTTGGGAGTAAGGCTTGGAGGTGATTGCCCCTCCCCTAAAGTATAAAGGACAGGCAAAGGTAGAGAAACCTTTGCAGGAAGCAAAGTCTTTCGTTCAGTTCGGATTCAACCTTGAAGCTCTGTGTGGACTTTGTACTTCAGTTGGTTTTTTATAATTCATTTGGCACTTTAGTTGTTGGCAGCCATTCAAAGGAGAGAAAGGTGGGTGCTTATCTCGGGGGACTGTTTGGGACTCATTACGGGCTGGGAATGAACGTAATTCCCAGTGTTGAAATAAAACAGGAATTGTTTTAACTGAGCGTGTGCTTAATTATGGTTTCGGAAGCCTTGGTCAGAACCCTCATGGAGCCCAAGGCAACATGGGAATAGTGTCCCTCACACTTGCCCACAGGTCTCCCTGCATACAAAAAACGAAGTACAGGTATCCTCGACTTACAACCACCTGTTCAATTGAACATTCAAAGTTACAATGATGCTGAAAAACATGACATGGCCGTTTTTCACACTTATAACCCCATGGGATCAAAATTCAGACGCTTGGCAACTACAGCTGCAGCGTCCTGGAGTCACCCGATCCCCTTTTGCGACCTTCTGACAAGCAAAGTCCATGGGGAAGCCAGATTCCCTTAACAACCACATTACTAACGTAAGGATTGTAGTGATTCGATTAATGTCCGGGGCAAGCAAGCCATAAAATGGGACAAAGCTCACTTAACTGTCTTCTCTTAACAACAGAAAGTTGGGCGGCTCAATTGTGGTTGTAAGCTGAGGACTGCCTACACAGCCCCTTCCTTTTCACCCACAGCAGGTGTCACTCCAACACAACCTGGCACTCCAACCACAGCTACTGTCACAAATGTGCCTGCCTTCTCCTGCTTTACAACGATTAAAGCAGAATAACGAAGTTGGAAGGGACCTTGGAGGTCTTCTAGTCCAGCCCCCTGCCTAGGCAGGAAACCCTACACCACTTCAGACAAATGGTTGTCCAACCTCTTGTTAAAATCTTCCAGTGTTGGAGCATTCACAACTTCTAGATGCAAGTTGTTCCACTGGTTAATTGTTCTAACTATCAGGAAATTCCTCCTTGGTTCTAAGTTGCTTCTCTCCCTGATTAGTTTCCACCCATTTATTGCTTCTTGTCCTGCCTTCTCAGGGGCTTTGGGGAATAGCTTGACTCCCTCTTCTTTAGGGCAGCCCCTGAGATGTTGGAAGACTTGCTATCCTGTCTCCCCTAGTCTTCCTTTTCATCAGATTAGACAAAACCCAATTCCAGCAGCTGTTACAAGCAAAACACCCTCCAAGCACAGAAAAGGCCCCCCCGTACCTGACCAGCTTTGGCTTGGGGTGCACGTTCCTCATGCGATATTTTGCCAGCCTCTTGTTGATGCAGTTGAAGGTGGCCCCTAAGAGGCCCCCACCGACCCCCATCAGGATGAAGAAACCCAGGTCCACGATGGTCCACAGGTGGCATTTTTTGTTAGACTCCGGACACTGGAGACAGGGAAGAAGAGACAAGACAAAGGGAAGCGGGGCAAATTCTTTGCGTGCTTTCATGGCCACAGTCCAGCTTTCTGTAACTTGGCCCTGGAGACCTGCTGTGGTGGTCTGTCAGCCACCGAATCAGAGGAGGAGGAGGAGGCGTGGGAATCAGGGCCAGCATCAGGGCAACCTGGGAGCTCTGAGGGAGAAGCGGGAATGGAGCTGGCAGAGAAAGAGACAGAGACGGGGCCTGGGCCGTCTGTCAGCCCTCAGGTGGAGAGTCAACAGCCCCCAGGTCTGGAGGTGGCTGATGAGGAAGAGGAGGAACAGCTGAGTCCAGTGCCTGACTGCAGATGCGCAGAAGGAAGAGGAGAGGAGAGCAGTGGAAATCTATGAGCCGGTCCTTGGGAAGGAATAGCTACCGCTGCTAGTGAAGCTCCACCCTCACTCTGGGGATAAAAGGCAGGGGGTGGAAATGAATAGATTGTGGTAGACAACTATTCATCTCCCTGCCGGACAGACTCGTTACCTTGCGGTGAGAGAGAAACTGTTTGCCAGGGCTGCCGACGCTCCTAATTAAAGGAATCTTTGAGTTCACGTCAGAGGGTTTGTTGTGTTTGGGGAGGTGGGTCAGAACCCCTCCATTAAGGAAGGCTCTGAGGCCATTCTTAGCCAGGGTTGCTTGTGTGAAAGGGCCCCTTCTATCTGGAAACCCCGGGGAAGGAAAGGCTAAATTATTATTAGCCTAGGACAGCGGTGGCTAACCTTTTTGGGCTCCCGTGACAAAAACTGTGCGCATACTCACGCTCACATGCCAGCACCCAGAAGGCAAAGTGCACCTCCCTGCCCCTTGTGCATGAGTGTGCAATCCCTCCCTACCCCCTTACCTGCACTGCGCCTCCCAGCTGATTTTCGGCTTGTTTAAGGCCTTTTTCGGCCTCCCAGAGGCTTGAGGAAAACTTCTGCAGGCTTTGCAGGCCGAAAAATGGGCCAGTTTCGTCAGTTCCGGTATTTCCGGAAATACGGGCCTATTTTTCGGCCTGCAAAAGCTTTCCTCAAGCCCGAAAATCAGCTGGGAGGCGTGCGCGTGCGCAGTGAGGTAAGCTTGCCAGCGGCTCGCATGCCAGCACAAGTGGCTCTGGGTTCGCCATCACGGGCCTAGGACATTTTTCGACATTGGTGTTAGGGGGGAAAAAAGATGGTTTTTCTAACCAAGGAAAAGAGATTCAGGGTCAGGTAAGGCTTACCTTGAACTCTCCAAAATTCAGCAAGCCCGGCAACTGGAAAGAGCCCCAGCTTCCAAACTGAATGCCGGAGCGGAAGAAATTGAGGGTGAAGGTGGCGGACATGGAGCAGAAGAGCTGGAAGGAAAAGGCACACAAACCCAGGTCATTCCCAGGATCTGTGCGGCCCTTTTCAAGGTCCCAAAGCTTGCCTCGACTTACGACCATTCTTTCGGTGACTTTGAAGTTACAACAGCACTGGAAAAAACACTGACTTACGACCGCTTTCCCACACTTAATAACCGTTGCAGCATCCATTCATGGCCACGTGATCAAAATCCGGATGTTTGGCAACTGACTCATGTTTATGACGGTTGCAGTGCGATCCCCTTTTGCGACCTTCTTGACAAGCGAAGACAATGGGGGAAGCCAGATTTCACTACTGGCAGTTGTTACGGACTGAACAACTGCCGTGATCCACGGAACAACCGTGGCAAGAAATGTCGTGAAAATGGGGACAAAATTCACTGAACAACAGCCTCGCTTAGCTGTGGAAATTTTGGGGCTCAATTGCAGTCGTAAGTTCGAGGACTGGCTGTCTATGCCATGGTCGGAGAGAAAAGGCCTGCCGACAGCTCTCCAGTAACACGTGAACACGGGACGCAGAGGTGGTCTTCAGCCAGTTCTGACCTGTTCCAGAGAACCGGTAGCGGAAATTTTGACTAGTTCGCAGAACCAGCAAATACCGCCTCTGGCTGGCCCCGCCCACATCTATTCTCCGCCTCCCGAGTCCCAGCTGATTGGCTGGGTCTCCTTTGGTTGCCCTGCCCAGGAGAACAGAGCTGGAAAGCAGGTTAATGGGGTGGGGAGGGAAGGGGGATTTTGCAGGATCCTTCCCCTGCCAAGACCACCAAGCCACGCCCCACAGAACCGGTCCTGATCCACCCGCCAGACCCACGGGGGCTGAGCCGAGAGTTTGGTCTCACCACTTTCCACGTGAGGCCCTGGTTCCAAAAGGAGGAGCCCTCTTCTAGGCTGAAAAGCGTCCCTCCGATGGGTGCCCCAAAGGCTGCGGCCACTCCAGCGGCCGCACCAGCAGACACAAAATCTCTCTTGTCCCTAAGAGTGGGGGGGAAAAAAACGCCTGAGAGGCAGGAATAACAAACGCGGGAGCAACGTCGTATTTTCCACACCCCGTCGGGAAAAGGGCATGTTTTAAGAAGTACATACAGCGGCTCACAGAAGATAGAACAACCAGGTAAGGAGGAACCTTGGAGGTCTTCTAGTCCAACCCCTTGCTCAAGCAGGAGACTGTATACTAGGGGGTAGTCAACCTTTTTATACCTAGCGCCCATTTTTGTATCTCTGTTAGTAGTAAAGTTTTCTCTAACCGCCCATAGGTCCCACGGTAATGGTGATTTATAAAGTAGCGGACAAAACCCCTAACGCCCACCATGAAAGCTGGAGCGCCCACTCGTGGGCGGTAGGGACCAGGTCGACTCCCACGGCTGTATACCATTCTGGACAAATAATTGGCCAATCGATGAATCGAAAAAGACCTAGGGATTCACACATGGTAACAGTCCTTCTCAGAATTTCTTACGGCTGTCCATGCTGGCTGGAAGCTAAACTGTACTTAGCAAGGTCTGTCAGACAAGCTCCAGCCAGCCAATCTACTGAGCCAAGAGGCTGATAGTTCAAAACATCACACGGCAGTTAAAGCAATTAGATTTATGGCCTTCAATTCAAGACGTGAGAGCCTCAGATCCACGTGGTTTTAAAACAGATTTTGAAAAGGTGGTGGTGTTCACTCCCTTCAAAAATGCCAAGGGAGAAAAAAAATGCAGGTAGTTTTATTCACCGTGGACTAGCTGGAGACTTTTTAAAGAGCTGAGTGGATTTCACAACGAGAAATTTTAAAAGAGGAGAAAAATAAATAGCTGCTCCATCCATGGGTGTCAGTTGTGGCCCAGTATCTGATTGGCAGCCAATCATGAAAGCGCCCATTAATCAGAGGGTTTCAACTGCTCTCCTAAAAGAGACCCAGCACTGCAACCCTATCCCACAGCGACACAGCAAATCTGAAAACACAGAGAGCCACTACCTTCTCCACTCAAGGAGCCAACATACCTGTCACTTCGGAAATAGGGGAAATTAAACCGGATCCTCCTTAAAGAGATACTCTGGAACTGCAGAAGGAAGGAAGGAAGGAAGGAAGGAAGGGGAAGGGAAGAAAGAAAGAAAGAAAGAAAGAAAGAAAGAAAGAAAGGGAAGGGAGGAAGGGAAGGGAAGGGAGGAAGAAAGAAAGAAAGAAAGAAAGAAAGAAAGAAAGAAAGAAAGAAAG